TGTGAAAATAAATAAAAAAGCTCGAGAACCGCTACATTATAAATTCTTTCTCATGATTCTCATCGCCCAAATAAAAATTTTTTTGGAGCATTTACATATTTACCACACAACTTTTTATGTATTTATATGGCCGACCCTTAAATATTTATCTTTTAACAAATGGAAAAGCATTTTTTTACCACATATTTTTTATATGTATGTAAGCTTCTTTAAAGTTCTTTTTTTTTGTAATTTTTTATTTTTATTTTTAAAAAAATTAAGAAAATTAAGAAATAATCGCCTTCTTTGTAATTTTGTTTATTGTATTGAATATATTAATTATTTTTAGAAGGGGAAATTACAATACTCATTGCAAATGATTCTTATCTTTTTAGAAAACTAATATTTGTATCATTATTTTAATTATTTGGATGAGAATTTGAAAATGAGGGGTAGGAAAATACTAACAATTGTTGGATGCTAAGAAAATTAGCCATGATGGAGATAGATGGTTTAGAGCCTTAATATCAAACATGCATTTCACACAAGAATTGACAAATAAACCCATCATAGGGAATGTCATTACATTAATATAGATAATCTAAAAAAAGAGAAAGGTCATGGGTGCCCAATACAAAAAAGCATGCAAGTTTTTGGTTAGATAGGCTCAGTAGAATCCATTCATCATAATTATGATTTCACCATATTTTGCATTGATTTAAATAAAATTGTTTCAAAATTTTTATCTAAAACTCTTCAACAAAGCTCATTGAATGTTGATAAATTGAGACATATGATGCATGAATATTTTTAATTAAGAAGTCACGTAAGGCGTAATGGTGAGTTGCGATGATATTCCTAGGCTAGAAAAAGTCATCATCTTCGGATTGCGTTGTTACACATTCGGGAGGCTTTGTTGCATTGAATGCAGGATGCATTGTTACATTATCATCAAGGTGCGACGTTACGTTGTATTTAAGTTGTATTGTTATACCCTCTTCGGGAGGCATTGTTGTGTCGTATGCGGGGTTCGTCGCTTTGCAGAATGTCTCACAAGTCTACAATGTATGTCGTGATTTCGCAATGCACATCGTAATTTGATAAGGGTTTACGTTGCAACGATTTGGGGTGGCCAACGGTGGACCGATGATTAGCAGTAGTTGTCGGGCGGTAGTTTACAATTGTATGCAATAGTAAGAATGTGTGGTATTTGTCAAATTTGTGGTGCAGAAGCGATACTGGACTGGAGATCCCTCTAAGCTTCAATCTTCTTCTAGCTCAATGTTTATCCTTTCAAAGGGGTAACACTCGATTTATAGAGTTCAAGTTACAAATAATAAAGATATTCATATCACTTTGATTAAACAATATGGAGTGGTTCTCTCAATTGAACAGTGTTATATTGACATTTAAGTGTTAATGATGTCACAATTGAGGGTTCTTGGGTTTGCTGGATTCATTTTGTTGAGATGCTTGCTTGATATTCCATTTTCCATTAGTCTTTTGTACCATCACCACATTGGAGACCCATTTAAGGTATTGTACTTCTCAATGTACCTTGCTTCCTCCAAATTTCGCACCTCCTCTTCAATGGGTTCCGCCAGCATCATGGTTGAGCTTTTTAATCTTCTACTTCATGGGCTGAGTCGATGGGTCGAAATTTAGTCTATGACAGCCAACGTTGATGGACACACCTGACATTTTAAAGATCGTCCATGCGAAATCTTGCATTGAAGATTGTGATGATTTTCATAAAGAGTCTGGATTAGCACCCCCTCCGCCCTGCATCAAAATCCTCACTTGTGAAAAAACATTTTCTTGGCTCTTCCTCGACAGCTGGAACTTCAAGGATGGACTCATTAGTCCTGAATGCCCATGAGATTGTGCTCCACGTTGCTTATGGCTCGCAAGTAGCAGACCCGAGACTGTTCCAGGTCACCCCTGATTGTGATGATTTGTCCGTCTATAGGAAAATTGACGACGACATGATATGTGAAGGCCATAGCCCTGAAATTATTCAGGCAATCAACCAAATATATCATTATATATCAGAGGGGAAGAATCCACCTCAAGAAAATCCTTCCTTAATAAACCAGTTCTCATTTTTCCCCAATTTACTGGGAGCCCGATCACGCCCAGCGCATCCTTTCTTTCGCCCAAGAAACTGTATAGCGATCTGGCTAGTGTAGTTATCCAGTATGTAGTGAGCCTTAGCTTGTCGAACAACTCCTTTAATAGTATATTTACTGAGCTCCTTGTATCGATGAGGACATTTCCTACTTGATAATTATTTATTATAGTTCTTATCACAATAGCATCATTATAGTGATTTCCCTTTGGCGACGTATCCTTATCAGTGAAGTAAAAAGGCGGGTGGCCATAGGGTTTTGCGGCAAAGGCTGCTGCACAAAGTTTCCTTGTTTTTTTGTCTCCTCTAGTTTACCCTCCTGGGTGGTTCGCTTCCTCTAAAGATTGCGGGCACGTATCCCACAATGTGGATGAGGTTGGAGTAGATGGGTCCTTCATTCGTTCCCTCTAAGGGAGCTTTGCTCTGCCTCTGGGTCGCAGCTCTAAAGGCGACAAATTCTTTCTGCATCCCCTCTTTTATTAGCTCTTCAATCAAACTTCGAAGGTGTCTGCATTCCTCCGTGTCATGTCCGTGATCTCTGTGATAGTTGCAGTATTTTCTGCTATCTCTGAGAAAGGCTCTAGTTATCATTGGTGGTGATTTCCTAAAGAATTCTTTATCTTGAATGACGTCTACTATTTCTGCCATGGACACCCTCAAAAGAGTTGCGCGGGGGACCCTGTGGTTGTATCTGGGTTGTCCATGATGATGGGACGCTCGGTGGTGTTGGGCTCTTATCTTTTTTTACTGGTTATCGTGGTGATGGGTGGAGTTGGTAGAGTGGCCTTTATATCGTAGGCGGACAATTGGTCGTTCATTCTTTCCTAGTTGCTTTTTATTGTCCTGCGGTGACCTCTTTTGGAGCCTCTATTCAGCGGGCTAGGGGACATTTTTCGTAGGTGGCTATGTACTTATTGGCCATCTCTAACAACTTGGCTAGACTTCGCATCTCCACGAGGTCAAGGTTGAAGCGGAATCTCTACGACCTTACCCCGCGTTTTCGTCGGGTTTCAAGGGTTTCACATCCAACTTTTCCCTCTGGATCACAAACTCTTGTTGGCTCATTGTTTCAGTTGCCATAGGGATCGAGCACACTTTTTGGGTCTTAGAGCACTGGCGAACTGAGATAGAAAGAGCCTTTAGAACTCCTCAAAACAAGTGATCACCCACAGGGGTAACCCGTTGAACCATCTTAGTGCAGACGATTTTAACGTTGAAAAGAACAACTTAAACTTGAGAGCGTTCGAGATTTTTTTGCAGAAATATAAAAGATTCAAAGACACGATGCGGTGCTTGGGATCAAAACGCCCTTTGTATGACTCTAGGACGGGCATTTTAAACTTCTTCGGGGGTTCAACTCCCAAAACTTGTAGTGATAAGGTGTTTTCCGGTTACCGCAGTGCCTCTGTTCACGCCTGTCAATTTCTCTCTTCAAAATGGGTGGATTCAGTGTTGTCTTGGTATAACACATCATCGAGCTTCTCCTGCAAGTGAATTGCTCTTCTTGTGTTGTTTGCTGGCGGTTCTTCTCGAGGGGGGTTGGGTGCCTCCCGCTAAGCCGGTTCTCCCCTTGCCGGAAGAATTCCTCCATGAACTCCCTAATGCATGTTGTTTCTGTCACGTTCCTCAAACTAAATTCTCCTTCTTGTTGTTATTGAATTCCTCCTCTTGTTGACGACATATTTCCACACCGTACTTTAAAGAGTGTTGAATCAAAGACTGTCCGAGAAACACACCCAAAGTATAAAACGTTTTGCAAAGAAATAAAAGAAAGAGTACCATGGAGAACAATAAGGGCGTGTAGTCCTCTATTCATGATATAGACCCCCTCTTTATAGGAATATGCCTCGGTCTTATAAAATTACATATCAGTCCCTTTATCATTGGCTTTTAAAAAGCCCTTTTAGTAATTACAAAGATATATGAATTTAATACGACTGACAAATTGATATCAATCGGCAAGACGTTCTTCGGCTGCTCGCCCTCCTTGACTTCATTGGTAGTTGATCTGAAACTAAGTAATCTACCGATCGGCCTTAGGTTCAATCGTCGTCATGTGAAAAATCATCAGACATTTTATTCCGGTCGCTCGATTCAAACACCTCCCATGCTAGTATTCATTCGTTGATCGTCGAACCGGTACGTCCGATTGATCGCACCATCCTTCCACGCTGTCCGTCCGTCTCTCTTGAGTGTTGAAATATTTTTCGTATATAATTTGACTTCTAAACGTGAAAATGAAAACTTATTTATCTATACCATAAAATTAGCAAAAAAACAGTATTTCAAAATTTATAATTTTCTCGAAATATTATTGACACAGTAAATTCATTATTCACACACACACACATTTATTATTATTTTTTTAATTTGAACAAATATAAACGCAAAAACATATACATGGAAACATGGTACATAAATCCTCAGACCAACAATATCTTGATTGAAAAAGGCAAAGGTATTCTTTTTAAAATAATAATAAAAAGAAACCTAAACAGGGATAAAGGAGGTGGAAACAGAGCGGAGATGGAGATGAGATTCTCTGTAGCTTGCCGAAGGAAGAACCCTCTTTCTAGATATGGATATGTACGGGACAAAGGCAACATTTGAGATACTCGTAAAAAATACAGACTAGTTTTAAGGAATACAACCACCAATAGTCCAATCAAATATTTGATTTTTTATGAATTCGGCGTCTGTGCTTTGTTAATCATAATAAATATACTTAGTCTATATCGTTTGATTAGCTTTTTCGTCAATTACAAAGTGTTCAGACTGATTCAGTTTATTGAATTGCCATTCAACCAGCAACTCTATCAAGAGAATAATTCTTTTTATATAAATAAAATTTATTTTTTAAAAGAATAATAGGAATAAATAAAAGTAACCGTGATTTTGAATATTAATGTGCCAGTCAATCTATATTTTTATACATATATTACATTTCAAGATATACTTATTTCTGTTTTTGATATTGCATTTCTCTAAAAGCGAGAAAAAAAAGAGGGTGCTGAGGACGGAAAGGGGTAAACCAGAAGAGAAAATCAGTAAACAGATAATCACTACTCGATCGACGAACTGGGAAGATCAGGATCTCGAAACTGCCTCGGCGAGCTTGACGATCTTCGACTCGATTCCCGGCGGTAACTTCAGCGCAGGCCGCCGTTCCCGGCGCTCCCGCCGGAAATCAAAGCAGAGCGTATCAGAAATTTCCTCAGAGCTCCATCCTGCACGACGCAGCGAGTCCGAGCACCTGTCCGCCTTCAAAAGGAGCGCATCTAGTACCGCCTCATCGTCGATCATCCCGGCCAAGCCACCGGAATTGGAAGATGAATCGACCATCTCGTTTACGTCGGACTCCCCCCATCCGCCTAGCCTCAGAACCGACCCTATTCGGCCGAGGTAGCTCTCTACCCATTCCGGCACCCTCGATGGGGGGGTCTTCTCCGAAACATCGAGCATCGGAGACGATGTCGACGACGATGAGAAGCTGGAAGAGTTACGCCGGCGACGATCCGATGCAGCGTCGCTCCAGAACTCGATCCAACGAGGGGCCTTACCGGCTATCGAATCCAAGCTGCGTCGAGTAGCGTGAGGCGGAAGAGGAGGTAGCGGGGGCTTATCGGCAGCGGCACTTGCTGATTTTTGACGCCGTAGAGAGCGATCCGGAGAACGAAACGAGGAATCACGGCGGAAGAAATCAGGAAGGTCGAATCCGCAGCAGAGAACGTGCGTTTCGTCGACAAAGAAGACGGGGTTACCGGCAAGAGACGGTCGACAGGGGATGTAGCAGCGATCAAAGAGCGGGATCAGAAGTGGAGCTCGACGGAGGACTGATCGAGCAACAGGTAGTGCACGATCTGGGCATGATCGGGGCCAGAAGTTTCCACGGGCGATCTGGAGGGAAGCAGCTGCTAGGGGAAGATCGATGGAGGCGCGGATGCGTGATCGGGAGCGCCAATCAGGAAATCCGGGGCCACAGGGCAGTCCCAGTGACAGCACTGCGCGGAGGTCCGGGGGGAAAGCGAAGGCGAACTCCGCCTCGATGCGAGCGAACTCGGCGTCGGAGAGGCCTGGGAGGATGGAAACACCGGAAGCGCGGAGGTGGGAGATGATTGCGTCGGCGAGAGGGGAGAAAGATTGGAGGCCGTTGCGGTGGGCGGCGGGGGAGGAGGAGTTGGTTGCCGCACGAGTGGAGAGGCGGCGTAGACCGGCGGCGTGGCTCGCCGGGAATCCGGCCATGCGACGGTCGACGTCCACCATAGTTGGAATGCTCTCCTACGATGAGAAAGCAGTTTTCAGTTTTGCGGCTGGGGGAGGGGGAAACGAAGAAGGCTGGGGTGGGGATACCGGCCGAGTACGGTAGTAAGATGGTGTAGAGTATTTATAGGAGGGAGGAAGGCTGGTGGGCCCGGTGGGAGATCTTGATTCTTGATTCCTGCCTGGGAAGGGGACGGTAGCGTTTTTTTACGCTTATACCCCCCGTAGGCGTTGGTAGGCTTCGAATTTTAAAAAGGGCCTCCATAAACCGGGCCACAGCCCGTGATGGAATATATGGCTTGTAAATAGGGCTGCCGAAGTGGCTCGTCGTTCGCGAACAGCTCTTGTTCGACTCGTTAAGAAGTTTATGTTCGGCTCGTTTCTTAAGTTAATGAGCCGAACGCGAACAACGCGAACAACGCAAATAAAATATTTGTTCATTAGTGTTCGGCTCTTTTTAGCTCGAAATATTACTAATCAATTATATATATATATATATAATTTAATTGACTACAAGGCTACAAAGATTAATAATCAATTAAAAGTATTAATTAAGAAAATAGAATAAAAATTATTAAATTAAATTCAAATGATGTTTTAAATCTTGCCACAATTCTTAATATCTTATGGCTACGTGATTAGGGTTGTCAAAACGACTCTTTGTTCGTGAACGACTCGTGTTCAGAGCAAATGAGTCAAACAAGAACACACTTTTTTAGCTTGAAATATAAACGAGCCGAACACAAGCTGAGCCTGGCTAGCTCGTATTCGGCTCGTTTACACCCCTACTTGTTTAGAGTTGCTCCCTACGCAGCATAATTTATAGCTTCCTTAAAAAGAATTGATTTTTACATAAAAAATTAGAACGAGCATATTAAAATTTTTTTATTTATTATAGAGTCCATAAATTATTATTTTTTAAAATTAAGCAAGACATATAAAGAAATTGATAGAAAATATTGAAGAGATTAATGTTGGGAGTGCATATAAAAATTACTTTCTAACCTTATTATCACCAAGGCTAAAAAATTTCAAAAAAAAAAAAAGGTGGGTTAATTGTTATAATATGTTTTTTTTTTAGACAATATTTGTAGAGGGTTTACATGGGTATTATATAACTTTATATGTACATATTTCTAATAGTTTATATATAATATTCACTTGTACAAATTAAAAGCACAAAAAAAGGGTTTTATTTCTAAAAAATTAATATGAATGATTGAGATTTTATCAATAATTTTTTTATCATCTTGCAAAAATTTTGAGCCATTTTTTGAATTAGAAACATTCCATATTTAAATTAAACATCATCCAGAGTTACAATTTTCAGCAAGTTTATAGTTAAACTTATCATCTCGACAAAACAAACTCAATCATATTGAAATTGGTTCAATGCAAGTTCAAACAATACTAAACCAAAGTCATTAAAATACTTTTGGAGGTTTTAGATCATCAATTAGATGATCAAATGAACCCTAAATTTGATATATGTTTATTCAAATCAAGCATCTAGATGAAAGTAATTCAATGAGCTGAAACTCCCTAATTATGAAGTCATAAAACCCCTCAAATAAAAAAAAAAAAATTGTTTGATCAAGAGAGATCAATATAAGTCACCTGATCATGTGATTGAGGAATTTATTCACCAAAGAATCAAAATATCATTCCCCTAGAGCCTATAAATATACCCATTTTCTTCACTTGGAGGGGAGGGGGGAGGGGAATGAGTCGAATTCTAGTGTTGTTCTGGACTGAAGACTCGATTATAACTTCCAGCCTCTGTAGTCACCGACCACTGTCGATAACAAACTGATAGTCATCGTCGAGCACTGCGACCACCCATGTTCATCTTCGTCAGCCAACTTTATTGTGTAATGATGTATTCTGAATATGATGTAATGGCATACCCGGATATGATGTGGTGACCTATCCAAAATAAAGTGTAGCAAATAATATTGTAGTCGAGATCTAACCTTAACTCTTTGTGAGGATTGCTTATGATCATCGTATTCAAAATATGAAGACTTTATCTAGACTTTTGAATTTTTTTGTAGGTTGTATACAGACAATGTGAAGTTGTAACACTGATCTCCCAGTTGTTGAAAAAGGCCACATTCTTTGTAATTACATATTTATAGTGAAATACTTTGATTAGGCCAGACCTCACGTTTTTTTCTTTTTGTAGTGTTTTTTCACATATAAAATCTTAATGTCTCTTCCTGCTACTTTCAAATTATTTATGTATGTTGGATTATCGTACTATGTTGCGACATTAAATAATCACTCTACATCCATCAATTTTTTGACACGTAATAGTTTTGTGTTTTATGTGAGAAACAAAGTCTAATTGATAGAACTCTGCCCTTTATAAATGTATAACAAGCACATTACATGAGCTACACTTTCTAACACATATCATTCAAGGATGCAATCTTGAATTCCAGGACACCAAGCCTCTACTCCATTTCCCAAAGATCACATCATCCTACCAATGAAGGAACTTCCTTAGTACCTTAGTACCACTTGAAGTTCATGTATGAAGGATGGTGGGTTCTCAAAATTAGATCCAAGAATTTTACCGAGTCTTGACAACCGATAATTGTGCATAGTGGAGGAGCATAACTATCTCAAAATCTCTCTAGTAGAGGTCAGCTTAAAATATCATCTTCGAAAATCTCTCTAGTCAATCTTTGGGGTCGTGGTGATGACTTAAACTGACAAGTTGTTGAAGCACCGTGTTGTAAGGAATAAATGAAACTTAAAAGCATTGTTTTTACAGTAGGTAAACTTCTAATTCAAAAAAGGCTACATGATCAGTAGGATCAATACTCCCTTTGTAAGAATCCTGGGAAGGAATTTTGAATTTCCTGGGGAGTTCCACTTCAACAAATTTTCTGGAGAATGTACTCTTTTATTTTTCTTTTCTCTAATAAATTATTTTATAGGTGGTGTGAGATCACTGATAATTTAAGATCGGATGTGTGTTTGTCTCCCTCCCTCCCTCCCTCCCTCTCTATATCTAGTGAATATGGTGAATTCACTTACCTTAAAATTCACCTTTTGAGAGTGGCAATCTGCATTGATCTGTAGTGTAGATCAGTCTAAAGTGTATAAGCATGATTACCATTTGTCTTCTTTTAATTACTGCCGCACACTTAAAAGCAAAAGATAACCTCTTGATTCGTCCCTTAAACAAAGTTATGCTTTGCTGATCAACTCATTTATTAAACTAATATGATTTTATGTTCTCCTTCTCAGTGTTTTTGTGGCTAAATCTGGAGAGAATAATTTTTTTTCTTAAAATTATAAAATTGAGCTTTATGTTTCATGATTTATTTTTTATTATTTTACTTATTTAGAAATAGTTTGAGTTCTCTGGTTTTCATAATCAAATCATTTGATGCACATTTTATCGTTGTTATTATTTTATTATTATTATTATTATTATTATTGATGTGTTTCAAATTCATTATCATTCCAGCCCCGATTTCAACAAGTTTATTGTCAGACCGACCATCTCTATAAGATGAACCTAATGATGTAAATTAGTTCAATACAAATCCAATAAAGGCCAACATCAAGCCATTGATGCACATTGGGAGGCTTATGATCATCAATTGAAAAGAAAAATGAGCTCCAAATTTGACATATTTATAATTAAACTGAGTGTCTCGACAAGAGGAATCCATCGAACCTAAGATTGCTAAATTCTATGGTTATTAACTAAGACATTGAAATCATAAAAAAATCAACTGTACTAATCAAAGAGGATCAATACGGATCATTTGATCATATAGTTAGGAAATTTACACGTCAAATGACCATCTCTCCAAAAGCCTAAAAATAGACCTCTCTTTTTAATTGAGGGGGAAGAGAAGAGGAAGAAGATGAATCCCAAAGATGTTAGGGAGAGAAGGTTTGATGATAATCAACAGCCTCCAAAGTCGCCTACCTCCATCGGCCCTTGTTTGCAACTGTTGTATTCCAAATATGGTTGTTACGTCTAGCACATGTATTGATGAAGAGCCAACAAATAACCGTCGGCCTTTGTAAAGCATCGACCAACGGTTATCGTCAACCACAGTCGATCGACACTACTTGCCACTAGCAATCACCTACTGCAGGAGACCCCTGCTTGAAATTGTTGTAACAAAACTATGACATTTATGTCCAACTACTACCTCTATAACAATTAATTATGACTTTTGTGACCAACTAATATTTTTACATCTTTCAACTATGGCTTATGTGGATAACTTTTGTTATTACCACCACTAACTCGGCCCTTATGACCAATTACAACCTCTGTAGCAATTTGTTGTAAACAATGGGACTAACTACTACAATCACAACTACCAACTACGACTTTTGTAACCAATTGTGGCTATTATAACCACTAATTACAGTCTCTGCAACTAATTACTACTATCGCAACTTCCAACTGCAACCTATGGGCTGACTGCTCTTGAAGCTACCGATGATGCATTTGAAATCGACAAGTATTGTTACAACTTTCAATTACAACATTTTTGGTCAATTGCTGCTATTACAACCACTAACTATGCCCTTTGTGGTTAATTACTACTGTCTTAGGGTCTGTTTGGCGCAGCTGTGAATTATTTATAATTTGCTGATAAGCAAATTATTCTGATAATCTGATAATCTGCAGATTATCAGAATAATCTGGCTTGCTGTTTGAGACAGCTTGTTCAGAGTAGCTTATTGGTGGTTAAATGACATTCCTGCCCCTGTCAGATGAAACAGGGAGAACCAAGCTTCAGAACAACAGGGAGAACCAAGCCACATCAAACTACCTAATTTCCTATTTCCAATTTTCGGATCTGTAAAGCTCAATTACCTATTTCCAATTTTCAGAATAACTCAAACCGAAATGTATTGCAAGACATATAGAACCGAAACTTGGCATATAGAACAACAGGGAGAACCAATTTTCAGAACAACTCCAATTTTCAGAACAACTGTAAACCAAAATCCCAAAGAAGGAGTGCGACATATAGAAGATCTATTTCCAGAGCACTGTAATATGTGATCCATTTCCAGAGCAAGATCTAAAAATCCCTAAATGTAAGAGCTAAAAATCCCAAAAAAACAAAACGTGAGGGCATAAAAATCAGAGAAGATTTATGAAGAACATTTCTATAGCATATAAAAGAACAAAAGCTTTGTAGTTACC